GAAATAAACTGTTTTCGAAGCCTTTTAACTCGTCGGCTAAACGTCAGATATTTTAATTAACGTTAAACCACTTGGATACAATCTGCCTTCTATGCTGCCAGTCTAGCTCTCCGTCACCAGACTCTTCTGGAATGCCAAAAGCTCATAGTCCATCCTGCCCTGATGCCTTCAATCCCGTGCCTGATGCAATGGGTGTGCGTAGGACATCAACCCTCGGCTCGAGTCCTGATAGTTATTCTGCCGCTCTGAACGCTCTCCCCGACTGCCCATCGGTAGGACGCAGCCCCGGCGCATTGCGAGCCCATCGAAACACGATCTACAGACCAATCCGGATCGAGGATCTGCCCCTGGACAGTGAGGACGCTGAGGTGGTGGGGATCAGGAGGCTTGCTGTGAAAGGGTCCACAGTGGCCAGGCGATCGGAAAGCCACTGCGTCGACATGAGTGTGGAAAATTCCATTTCCGCAGAGCTGGCCGTCGATCAGCACTTTAAGAAATCGCTCGGTCCGCTACTTGATATGGCGACTCCCTGTTCCGGGCTTTTCCCGCTCGTCAAGCAAACATCTTCTCTCGTCTACGTTCCCTCTGCTACCACCTTCTCGAATCGCCCTTCTTTTGCAACCCTAAACGGAGACGGACCGAGCCCCAGAGCCACACGTGACCTTTTCCCAAGTGAGTATGAAATGTGGCCTTATTTATTAGCTCGCATAAGTTCTGCTTTTAGTCCGTTTTAGTTGACGTGTATTTCGCCAATTCTCAAGTGTCCTCTTCACGGACATAGTTTCGACAGAGCGATGAGTCCAAGCGTTATGCTCTGCTGGTCCAGTTTGAAGGAGCCTTAATCAGCAAATCATAATTCATTCGAAGGCGGTCTTTTTGTCATATAACATTGGCCAACTTTTTTGACAACAACCCGACAACCCGACATTCTGTTTGAAAAAAGACACAACAAGGGAGCAATGCAATTATTTTTCGTTTATTATTAGATGTTCAAGGCTACTATTAGATCATATATATGGAATTTATTAACCCCATTTCGCTTAAGATGATACGAGTAGCTCAATTTTGTCTACAACCATATAAGTATGACTTATACTTGATTGAATTTAACAAAACTTTGTTTCCTTAAAGGCACTTTTTTGGAGTTGACTGGAATGCAGTTTCGAAATGGTCCAAGTCTCATCTACACCTCATATCTCAAGTAACCGTGCAATTACTCGGAACAATAAAGTACTCTAGAAGTGGGTTGACCTCGTTATCGCAACTTGGTCTTGTGGTCAGGGACGCACCTAGTCCGAAGTCGTCTGCCATAGTAGTTGTCATGATTCCCGGCATCAGAGTAGATAGATAGACAATGACAGAAAGAGGAGGGATAGTGTAACCGTTTTCGGCACAACGGTTGTCGAGGGATTGACTTCACTTGCCTCTTTGACGAATTCGTAGCTTGGTGCGGAGAATGGCAAAGCTCACTGATGATGCCGAATACGATGCCGGCGAAACGTTTGAGAATGTATCAAGTCCACTGTCAGATGCCGGGAATCATGACAACCACTATGGCAGACGACTTCGGGCTTGGTGTGTTCTACATAGTCGCCCTGACCACAAGACCAAGTTGCGACAACGAGGTCAACCCACTTCTATAAATCGAAAAGAGGCTGCGATGATACCAGAGGCCACTACATCTTGGTCTTCATTTATTCAATAAAGTACTCTGCTTTATAATCCCAAATCATTCCTTCCTTTTCCCATGAATTGATGGTTCAGCTTCAGAACCCTA